ACTTTTATCAGATACCAAGTGGCTTTGGAAATTAGCATTTTTGCTGATCTGGTGAACCATATGAACCATTTGAATTTAAAGTTGCAGGGTGAAAATAAATTAGTCTGTGGTTTATTTGCACTTAACAAGGCATTCAGAGCAAAGTTGATACTTCTGGAAAGCCAAATGAAAAATTGTAACTTTGTTCATGTGCTATACTGTGCAGAGTTGCATAAAAAGGGTGAAGCAGAATTTCCTTCCTCGTTTGCAGATTTAGTCATTTCAGGTTTGAAAGAACAATTTCGGAATCGATTTGCTGATTTGGATTCCAGTGCTCAGGAAATCAGATTGTTTCAAAATCCGTTTGACTGTGATGCTGCAGATGTCCCAAGTCAAATTCAAATGGAAAATATTGAACTTCGGGAAAATTATCATATTAAAGACAAATACAAGGAAGGAAATTTGATCGAATTTTATAAATTTCTGAACTCTGAGCAATTTCCAGATTCAAAGAAATTTGCTTGTAAATTTATCTCCATTTTTGGGATGACATATCTGTGTGAACAAACTTTTTCCCAGATGAAGTACATCAAGTCGAAATACAGGGCAAATTTATCCGATGAAGATTTTAAGTCGCTATTTGTGATTAGCGTTTCAAAATTTGAACCCCAGTTTAATCAAATTTTAAGAATGCAAAAAGAGTTCCTCATTCACATTAATTGTTTTATTATAATTTGTGATGATAATATGAGCATTTGCTGCTACTGTCTGTTGTCATTAATATACGATAATTTATTCTCACGTACTTTGTATTTAGTTTATGAAATTCTGTGCTTTCAATAAAACTCATATACCTAGAGTTATTAATTTCTTATTTATCCGGCCCGTTGAAAGTGGTGAATTACCTAATGTGGCCCGCGGTTCGAAAAGTTTGGAGACCCCTGATCTAGCGGAATCATTAGAAATCAGGCGTTGCTGTCTCTCAGCCGCAAATTTGGAGATTCCGGTAGGAGCTTTTGAAATTTCAGAAAAATTATGTTGCCATGACTCTTGAAGTAACCACGTAGATATGCCTATGGTTTCTTGTCTGCTGTCTAAAAATCATAAAAATTAGAATATACAAATACAATACTATAATTCTATATGGGTGTGAAACTTGGTTTCTGACATTAAGGGAGGATCATAGAGTCAGGGTGTTTGAGAACTGGGTGCAGATGGAAGAGAGATGAAGTGACAGGAGGTCTGTGAAAACTGCATAATTAGGAGCTCCATAACTTGTACTCTTGGACAAATATATAATTAGAATGATCAGGTCAAGGAGGGTGAGATGGACAGGGTATGTAGTATGAATGGGAGAGAAGAGGAATGCATATAGGATATTGGTATGAAAGCCAAAACCTTGCATGTACTTGGTTTTGGTTTTGTTAACTATTGATATTTCAGTCCTGTAGATTAGCTTTACCATAAAGTGAACCAAGTTACATTAGGCACGTCTATAGGAGTGTACATGGATAATGCTCTTTGCATGTCTTACATCTATCATAACACGTTGAATTTAATCTTTTGTCCGACCGTCAGGAGGTATCCATTATTTCTTACAGACACTGTTATGTGAAACACATCACTTTTAACCAAGTGTCCCGTGACTGCAAAATCGGCCATCATTATTCTGTTATTAAATTTATCATGAAGGCTATGGTGTCCTACATATTGTAGGTACTATAGGACCTTTTCCTGTTTTTGCCTTCGCATCCCCCGTAATAAGTTTTACGCCATATCTTCCTGATGTTTCCCTTAATATGGAGATGACATAAACATTGGCAAGAAACAATTGACATTATAGTGACAAGCCAGGAGTTTGTCTGTTAGTCTATATCTGTGTAGCATACTGAAGTCGTTTTATTCTTTCATTTTTAGGTTTAATAAATAACTTTATGGAGGTTGGCAGCCCATTAAGTCATGATTCGGTAAGTTTCAGAGAAGCAGCAAAGAAATTCACGCTCCTTAAAATGAAATAATATTTTTATCTAAATGATGTATTTAAATGTTTTCTGAGAGAGAGAGAGAGAGAGAGAGAGAGAGTCAAATTTCCTCAACAGGATTTGGTAAATAATAAATCGCCATATATTCATAGAGGTAAATTTCAGAATCTCAGTCAGTAGGAGAGTTTCAGTTGGGATTAAATCTCGCGTGACTCCTGTCCTGATGTGCTGCGGGGTATCCTTGGGATCGCCTTACTGCTTGTCGCAGTATTCACCTTTTGGACTGTAAAAATTGTAAGTTTCTTGACTTCTGACCCTTCACTTACCAAGCATTACTGTCTCTAGGCAATGAGCAAAATTAAAGAAAAATGTAGTTCAGTCTGGCAAGGTCAAGTCTCCTTTTGAGGAGTTTACAGGTATAGAGGTAATTTTGAGAAAATCAGTCGGTATGCGAGTTTTAATTAAGATTTAAATCTCATGTGGCTCCTGTATTTATGTGTTACAGGATTTGCATGGGCTCCTTGGGCTTGTAGCGATTCTTCTGGCCTCTGGATGCTTTATGAAGTTTCTTGACAGCAGACTCTTCACTTACCAAGCATTACTGCCTCTAGGTATGTGGCCAAATTAAAGAAAAAATGTAGTTCAGCCTAGCAAGGTGAAGTCTCCTTTTCGTGCGATTTCGCTTTCTGACCCAACCTCTTTAAATAGTTGCAGTTTACCTAATAGGTCATCCTATTGAATTCAGTAAAATTGTTGATTCCATTCTTCTTATGGGACCTATTAGTGCAATCTTCAGTGTCTTAACGCTATGCTAAACCATTGTACTGAACTGCATGTCACATTCTAAAATTGAAAGTGCAACTAAAATTCAAATTATGAGAAGTCTCCATATTAAATTTAGTAAAGACACTGATTCCAGTCTTCAGCGTTGTATATACAGTAGAACTTGGTTATAACGTCATCAAAGGGACCTAAAAATAGTGTCGTTATAAACGAATGTCGTTGTAACCGAAATGGGCACTTCCACAGTAGCCTTATGTTAGTCACGTAAAAATCTACCAAAAACTGAGTTAAAATGTTGCATTTTTTAGTGAAATACATACTAAAATACAGACTAACGTAACATTAACGTGGAATTGCCCAAATGTGTAATATCAAAGACATATTACAGCGCTTTTCACTGACAATACACACCGCACTAATACTGTATATTAAAGGTAGGCCTACTCACCAAATTACAGTAGATTACATCAATTGTTGTGCCTTACTGTACCTAGATACGAGTACAGTAATCAGTTATCTTCATCTGTTTCCTGTTACTTGCCCAATACACACTTTCTAAATTACGTTCAATGTCCATCTCAGAGAAATTCAGGAATGTAAATGACGTTACATACGAGGTTGATGCATTTGTGCATGTCGTACTAAGCAAGGTATAAAAACAGTTGCTTTATTAGGAATTAGTTTGTACCATTGAATATTTGACGCAATAGACAAGGTGTCGCAGAAACCGATGTTGCTATAACCAAGTTTTACTGTATATATATTCGTCTTTCATGTAGTTCATGGATGTTGTGTGAATGTTGATTTCTCTTATATGCGGGTTACTTAGAAATTCATGGCAACTTTTTTGGGGGGGGAACAGACATGTTACAGGGAAGGAAGTTCAAAATATAATTATGAAAGGACATGATATACCCCTCTGATTGACTTGGTCAGATCAGGTAGATGTGTAGGGGCGTATGTATAGTAGGCAAGAAAAATTGCACATTACGGAATGACTTTTTTTTTCATTCTTTAATCCTCGAAAACTTCAGTTGTGATTAAGGAATAAAGAAATTCAATATGAGTTTTGAAAATTCGATGCACAGTTGCCTGACCAATCTCTGTATGTCTGTCTTAACTCCTTCAGAGACCAGCGCCTATCTTTCTCCAAGGACTGGTCAATGACGGCATGAGAAGCATCGGTAAGAACGAACACAGGGCGTCCACTACGTTGCAAGTGGGCACTTGCTTCTCTTCCACATTGGAATGCTTCTGTCCTCCTTGCAACAGTTGTGTGTGGTAGAGCACGATCACCCAGAGCTTCCATAAGCTCTGAGTGACATTCAGTCGCATTTCTGCCCTGAAGGAGTGCTATTTTCTTGTAACAATGCTGTTCCAGCCAGCAGACGTACATTCTTGATGAAGGTTATGATCAGACTGACTTTGCTCTGGACTCGCTTCGTTGCCCTTTGACTTCTGCATCATCTAGCACAAGGGTATCCAAAGTACGGCCCGCGAAACAATTGTGCAGAAATGCGCCAATTGAACTAATTTTCCAATGAGTACTGGTAAATGTGATTCCGAGCTTATTGACCTGACATATTATACTGCAGTTCAATGGCTTAGCTGTGGAAAGGTTCTTTCGCGCTTATTTCAGCTAAGGAATGAAATTGATATATTTTTTACTGAGAAAAGCCATCACCAACCACTTTTATCAGATACCAAGTGGCTTTGGAAATTAGCATTTTTGCTGATCTGGTGAACCATATAAACCATTTGAATTTAAAGTTGCAGGGTGAAAATAAATTAGTCTGTGGTTTATTTGCACTTAACAAGGCATTCAGAGCAAAGTTGATACTTCTGGAAAGCCAAATGAAAAATTGTAACTTTGTTCATGTGCTATACTGTGCAGAGTTGCATAAAAAGGNTTCTCTTATATGCGGGTTACTTAGAAATTCATGGCAACTTTTTTGGGGGGGGAACAGACATGTTACAGGGAAGGAAGTTCAAAATATAATTATGAAAGGACATGATATACCCCTCTGATTGACTTGGTCAGATCAGGTAGATGTGTAGGGGCGTATGTATAGTAGGCAAGAAAAATTGCACATTACGGAATGACTTTTTTTTTCATTCTTTAATCCTCGAAAACTTCAGTTGTGATTAAGGAATAAAGAAATTCAATATGAGTTTTGAAAATTCGATGCACAGTTGCCTGACCAATCTCTGTATGTCTGTCTTAACTCCTTCAGAGACCAGCGCCTATCTTTCTCCAAGGACTGGTCAATGACGGCATGAGAAGCATCGGTAAGAACGAACACAGGGCGTCCACTACGTTGCAAGTGGGCACTTGCTTCTCTTCCACATTGGAATGCTTCTGTCCTCCTTGCAACAGTTGTGTGTGGTAGAGCACGATCACCCAGAGCTTCCATAAGCTCTGAGTGACATTCAGTCGCATTTCTGCCCTGAAGGAGTGCTATTTTCTTGTAACAATGCTGTTCCAGCCAGCAGACGTACATTCTTGATGAAGGTTATGATCAGACTGACTTTGCTCTGGACTCGCTTCGTTGCCCTTTGACTTCTGCATCATCTAGCACAAGGGTATCCAAAGTACGGCCCGTGAAAGAATTGTGCAGAAATGCGCCAATTGAACTAATTTTCCAATGAGTACTGGTAAATGTGATTCCGAGCTTATTGACCTGACATATTATACTGCAGTTCAATGGCTTAGCTGTGGAAAGGTTCTTTCGCGCTTATTTCAGCTAAGGAATGAAATTGATATATTTTTTACTGAGAAAAGCCATCACCAACCACTTTTATCAGATACCAAGTGGCTTTGGAAATTAGCATTTTTGCTGATCTGGTGAACCATATAAACCATTTGAATTTAAAGTTGCAGGGTGAAAATAAATTAGTCTGTGGTTTATTTGCACTTAACAAGGCATTCAGAGCAAAGTTGATACTTCTGGAAAGCCAAATGAAAAATTGTAACTTTGTTCATGTGCTATACTGTGCAGAGTTGCATAAAAAGGGTGAAGCAGAATTTCCTTCCTCGTTTGCAGATTTAGTCATTTCAGGTTTGAAAGAACAATTTCGGAATCGATTTGCTGATTTGGATTCCAGTGCTCAGGAAATTAGATTGTTTCAAAATCCGTTTGACTGTGATGCTGCAGATGTCCCAAGTCAAATTCAAATGGAAAATATTGAACTTCGGGAAAATTATCATATTAAAGACAAATACAAGGAAGGAAATTTGATCGAATTTTATAAATTTCTGAACTCTGAGCAATTTCCAGATTCAAAGAAATTTGCTTGTAAATTTATCTCCATTTTTGGGATGACATATCTGTGTGAACAAACTTTTTCCCAGATGAAGTACATCAAGTCGAAATACAGGGCAAATTTATCCGATGAAGATTTTAAGTCGCTATTTGTGATTAGCGTTTCAAAATTTGAACCCCAGTTTAATCAAATTTTAAGAATGCAAAAAGAGTTCCTCATTCACATTAATTGTTTTATTATAATTTGTGATGATAATATGAGCATTTGCTGCTACTGTCTGTTGTCATTAATATACGATAATTTATTCTCACGTACTTTGTATTTAGTTTATGAAATTCTGTGCTTTCAATAAAACTCATATACCTAGAGTTATTAATTTCT